AAGTACTGTAAACTGTATAAAAAAATAAAAATCTGAATTGTGTAACCGTATCCTTATATGGGACGGTCCCTCCTGTAATCATCTATATCAGGAGATTTGTGTTTGCAAAATTCGTCACGTTCGATTTTGTCCAAAAAGGCAACTTTAATAATAGCCTGATTGTGTTCGGTAGAATGTCTTCCTTTTGTGGCAATGATAAATGAGTTATACTTGTCATAGCACAAATCAGTGATCTGCGAGATCTTCATTTGGGGGTTCAGGCTACGAAATTTATCCATTGGAATGTAAGCAAAAAATTTAGTAACTTGGGTTGAAGGAGCATCAAAGCCAATTATTGTAGTATCTAAGGTGTTTTCTGACGCGTCAAAAGACTCATCAACACTAATTGTCGGTTTGGGCACAGCGTTTTCAGAGGTTGTGGAAGTTGAGGCAATAATTTCAGGAGTTTTTTCCTTGTCGAGGTTGTTGGACGAACTTTCTTCAACTGGTCGAATTCCATGGTGCTTGTCTCTTTTAAAACAGTTACGAGAGGTTCCTTTACATACGTAAGAGAGTGGTCGTTGTCTGAAGTTTGCAGTGTATGTTATTTCTTTTTTGGGAGTTTGTCAGATATTGGCGACGCAGAGCGACCGCGGTTGGTGTTCTTTCTTTCAGTTTTTTTTGGCATTTTTTTGGAAAAGCAGAAAGAGTTTTTTTCTTGAAAATTTTTTGTATATATATTATACAGTATAAAATATACACAAATAATTATTAAAAATAGATAAATTATAATAAAATAGATAAATTATTTATAAAAATAGAAATACTATGTAATATATACATTAATTTTCTTTTTTAGTATAACTTATGTACATAAATTTTGATTTAAATTTTATATATTGATATACAATCAGATTTGAATCAATAGATATATGAAATAGTGTATTATATTATATTATCTCTCTTTTTTTCATGTTAAATCAACTTCACAAAAATTAGAAAATATTTAAAAAATTAATATTATATACAATCAATACAAATTCTAGACTCAGGTATCTGAATATTATGAGTAATGTTTTAAATTAAAAATTACTTATTGAATCAATAGTATAAAAAATAGCATATAGGATGTTTGTTAGGAAAATGGGACTCTGAGATCTTTTTACTAAAATTGAAATTTTTGCTTTATATGAATCTATGCTATAATAATTTTAACTAATTAAATTTTTAAAGTACTTTAACTTAATATTAAAAAATGAATAAAAAGCAATTGAATTTTTACATAAAAATTTAAAAATAGAATTTAGAAATGATAAACATTATTAATATACTTTTTAGAAAATGATCAATATAATTTAATATTTTACATTATATTATATAATATTATTTTAAACATATAATATAAATCACATTATTTAAAATTATAAAAATAGATCACCTTAATATTAAAGTTAGAGTTCCAAATAAGTCAAGTTGAATCAAGTTTAAAAATCAACTCTATTTGACTTATTTTTTTCAAGTTGATTTGAGTCAAATTTATTTTATAAAATCTTTCAACTTGATTTGATTCGAGTTATATAAATTTTAAATTTTAAATTTAACTCAATTTGACTTGACTTAAGTTTAACTTATCAAGTTCGAATCAATTTTTGAGTCAATTTTAAATTAATTTATAAATATTTAATATAAAAAAATTTATACTCACCCTTATTCATGAAAATAAAAGATTCGCTTCTAAAAAAAAGAAAGTAAATTAAATAAAAAATAATAAAAAAGTAAAAATTAAATTAAAAAATGAAAACATCGAGGGGGGGAGGGGGAAAGGAAGGAAATAATAAAAATAAATTAAAAAATAAAATAAAAAAACAATAAAAATTGAAAAAAAGTTAAAAAAAGAAAAGATTGCAAGGAGGAATAAAATAAAAAAATTAAAAAAAAGTTAAAAAAATAATAAAAAATGAAAAAAAAGTTAAAAAAAAGAAAAGAAAGATTGGGGAGTAGGGGGAGAAGGGAAAAATAAAATAAAATAAATTAAAAAAAAGTTAAAAAATAATAAAAATCGAAAAAAAAAATTAAAAAAAAGAAAAGATCATGAGGAGAAATAAAATAAAAAAATTAAAAAAAGTTAAAAAAATAAAATCCAAAAAAAGTTAAAAAAAAAAGATCATGAAGGGAAATAAAATAAAAAAATTAAAAAAAAGTTAAAAAAAAAAGAAAAAATTAGAAAGTGGAGGAGAAAGAAGGAAGAAAGAAGAAATAAAATAAAAAAAATTAAAAAAAAGTTAAAAAAATAATAAAAAGTTAAAAAAAAGAAAAGATTACAGAAAGAGAAAATAAAATAAAAAAAATTAAAAAAAGTTAAATAATAAAAATTAAAAAAAAAATTAAAAAAAAAAGAAAAGATCAGAAAGGAAGAGAGGAAAGAAAATAAAATAAAAAAGTAAAAAAAAGATCACGAAGAGGAATAAAATAAAAAAAATTAAAAAAAAAGAAAAGAAAAGATCGCAAGAGAAAATAAAATAAAAATTGAAAAAAAAGTTAAAAAAAAAAGAAAAGATCAGAGGGGAGAGAAAAATAATAAAAAAAAATTAAAAAAATAATAGGAAATGATCGGAAAAAAATAATTAATAAAAATTAAAATCGAAAAAAATTAAAAATAATACTATTTCAAATCAACTTGAATCAATTTGAGTCAAATCAAGTTTAAATCGAATCAAATTAAATATTTAACTTGATTTAAATTTAGCATGACTCACAAATCATCAAGTCAAAAAAATATTAATTTAACTTGATTTAAATTTGACTCAGCTTATCTAACTTGTAAGTTAACTCAACTCGTCTGGAACTCTAATTAAAGTTCAAATTTTGTTTATCATATTATGCAAAAATAAAAATTAATCTCAGAGCTCCTTTTTTCTAGTAAACCTCTATATGGGAGTGTTTCTAGGAAAATCAGGTTCCGAGAAATTTTTGACTAAAATTTAGAGCTTAATACATTTTAATCTAATAACATCAAAAACTAAAATGCAATAAAAATCTCAATTTTGCTAAAAAATTCCCGGAACCTGATTTTCCTAGCAATCAACCCATATGGTCTCACATTCTCTTTTTTTTCAATTACCTAATAATGTTAAATAAATATTATAAAAATACTTATTTATAATCAAAAAATTTTATTTATATTCAACATTGTATTACATATTTTATTAATTTTCTTTATTAATATTCTTCTTATTTTTATTGTAAAAAAAAAGAATACTACCTGATACCATTATTATAAAAAAAAAATAATGTTATCCGATATCTTTAGTATAAAAAAAAATAATATCACTTAACACCTTTATTATTATTATATAAAAAGTAAAAAAAAACCACCTGGCATCTTTATTATCTATATATAAAAAAAATAATACTACTACCTTAGCACTATTACTATATTATAAAAAAATGCATTCCTTTAATATTAAAACTTGAAACTCAATTCTAAAAAAAATGCTATCTAGCATTTTTGAAATAATAAAAAATTCCACCTGACATTTGCTATATTTAAAAAAAATTTGCTATTCAGTACTAAAAAAATGCTATCTGATATATTTATAATTAAATTTAATTATTAATTATATTAGTTCTTTAGGTGTTTTATATTCTTCTTTAAATAGCAGTTTTCTTTTATGTTTCTTATATTTCATTATATTATGTCCTAGTCTCTTACATTTAAAGCAATTTGATAAAGAACTTTTATTAATATTTGAACAATTATTAACTTCATATTTAAAAAAAATATATATTGTTATATAAGTCAATTGTAAAGTTTACTGACTAAAAAATAGACTTCAACACGTATAGCAACATTTTAGGTATCTAAAGGATAATAATTTATGTTAACAATCCTAAAATCTTGTTTGTATCAATAGAATTATCAATGTAAATCATTACAATTAATGTATATGTTTATATGAGAGAGTAATAATGATGGATTGGGTTTTATGTTATGAGTTTAACTAATTAAAGTTATAAGATAATAAGTTGGTTTTATTAATTAGAGAAATTGGAATCAATATCATTTAATAATTTAAATAAGCTCTTATTCACGAACTTACAAAATTACAAATAGACAATAAACTAAACTATATCAAAACTGTATTAGAAAAACTATCTAATAATTATTCCAAGACTAACTAGCTTAACTTTATTAACTGAATAACTAACTGACTTGTAATTTACTAAAAACTAACTAATGAGAATACATAAAATTCCTATCCTATTTATATAAAACTTTGGGTCTAATTCTATTATTAAATTAAGATAAAATACAACTTAATAAACTACAGAAATCTTGTAAATATTGTTAATTTAATTAATAAGTTTAACTAAGTAAATCACACTAACTATATAAATATATTTAAATTCGTTAACAGCGTTTTTTTTTTTTTTTTTTAACAATATAGTACTGTCATAAGTTTATTATATTTATGTTGTAGTATTACAAATAAGATTAATAAGAAAAATAAAATTAAAAGTATGGTGCAAATGGTCTAAAGCCACTACTTTTTTATTTAACGACCAAATTTTTCAGATTTTAATCAAATCACGTGAAATAAATTTTATTGGTTAATATATGATTATATGATTTATATTATACATTTATTATATTATCAGAAATCTGTCAATGTTATCTATATTTTTTTATAGCATATAATGCTTCTATACCTATTAATCCTTTTTTATATGTATCCATAAATCTCTAAGATCTACAAGCATAACATTTAATTGTTTCTAAAGAAATTGAATTTAATGCTTCAGGAATTATTTTTTCTAATCCTTTAAAGAAGTAATTATAATTATTACGAGTATAACATTTAGCAGCATCCTAAAACATTTCAATAAAATTAAGTTCACAATGGAACTTTAGATAAAAAATAACTTTATGATCACAATCCTTAATAACTTCTTTAACTAATGGTCTTTATGCTAAAAAATCTGATTGAAGTAAAAGTACTCTAACTGCATAACAATCATCTGCAATTAGAGTAGAGGTTAGAACCGGTTAAAGATTTTTTTTAACTGGTTAAAATAGATGAATTTAAATTCAGCCAAAATTCAATTTCTGGTCAGAATTAAGATTTTTATGATTGACAAAATATTGTCTAACTCTGGCCAAATTTATAATACTGGCCAAAGTTAATTTTAACCGGTTAATTAACCGGTTAATAAATATTTTAACTGATTATTAACCAGTTAAAGAATTTTCAGCCAGTTCTAACCTCTAAATTGGAGAATGTTTTTTACATTAAAACAAATACAATTTAACCCTTTTTCTGGCCATAAATCACATTCTTCTAAAATTAAACGAATTCCTTTTGGTTGTCCATTTGAAAGATGCATTGATTGTATTGACCCATTAGACATTATTCCATTTCTAAATTTTCCTTTACCATCCAGTTTAAGATTTATTTTTGATGTAATTAAAGCATCCTCTGCATATGTAGCATGAGATATTGTATTATCAAATGCAAATATACCAATTTCACCAAGATGCAGTTTTTCAAAAATTGGAATTGCTTTTTCAGTAATCTAATTATAAAATAAGTATCAATTAGTAATTTTAAAATAATAAATAAAAATAAAATAAATATAAAATAAAATATTACTTGTGTAATTAAATTTTCAGTTTTCTACCAACCATCACGATTAATACCTAATTTTATTATGCTTCATCTTGTTCAAATTTTAATCGACCATCAACTTCTATTAAAAAATCACTAATATGTAAACTTAAACCTGATCCTTTTTTACAAAGAGGTTGATGTCCAGCAGATTCTCAAAAGGTTTTTTTACTATCATTAGCATAAAATATTGATTCATCATGAGTTACTAAAATATGTCTTTTATTACCCTTATTCAAATTAGATTCTATTAATATTATAATATTATCATCTGAAGGTTTTGGTATCTATTGATTTAATTCTACTATTTCTGTTAAAAATTTTTGTCAATATTTAAACATATCAGGTCTCTCATGCTCATCATAATAAATATATTTACTTCTTATACGAAATGTCTAACCAAAATGCTTTAACCATACCCATGCAGTAGTATTTGAAATTGATTTTTTATTTTTGATTTCAACATTTGAAAAAACTTCTTGTTTAACATATGTCTTAAATTTATCTACAGTTATATCACAACTAATATTTCAAAAATATTTAATAATCATTTGATAAATATCTTTATCACCTAATAAACTTTTAATTTTTTGATGTTTTACTATACATTAATGTTGGAATTAATTGATATATAATAAAATTTATATTTATACTCTGATTAAACGTGTTTAATATTCTTTTTTGCTAATACTAACTGCAATTATTTTACTTGCTTCCATGCATTTATAACCAGCTAATCTTAAATTAATATATTAAAGAATAAGTTGCAATCAATTTTTGACTTGAGAAATCAATGATTTATCTTTAATTAATATATTTAATTCTTCTAATGCTAAATTAAAACCTTTTCTTTCTATTATTTCTTCAAGACTAATTAAATCATTGGCTATAGTATTAATTTGATTATTTGATAAAGTAGTAGATGTAAAGTACTTAGTAATACTAGAAGAACCCTTACTTGCCAATTTTAAAGCTGATTTTTTTTGCCTCTTAGTTCTATCAAAATTTCTATGATAAATTAATAGGTGTATATTATTAAAAATAGTAGGATTCTTTGCATTTTGATATATAATATTAAATGCAGTTGGCATAATCCTATCTATAGTTTCTTCTAAATCAGCATCATTCCAAGTAGTATGGCAGACATTTGTATGATTAGTCAATTTTTATGTTGATCATTTCCTAATTATCATTAAAATAATTGATTTTGATTGGTTTAATTTTATTATTAAAATAATCTAATATTAATATCACATTTTTTTATAAAAATTATTAATTTTTCATAAATATTTTAAGAGCTATTTTAAATTGTTCTGTAACTTGAAAATCAAATAATGTTTGCTTTGATAAATCTTCAGATTCATCATTTTTTATTAATTGAATTTCATCTTCTTAATCAAGTTCAACTTTAAAATTTTCTTCAGTAATTCTAGAAATAATAGATTTTACATTATTATTAATTTCATTTTTAATAT